GAGATATTGGAGGAGCATCGATTTGAGGAAGAAGCATATGGGGACAAACGCCCAGTTTCTATTTTGGATGAAATATATGATATATGGCAAGATGTACCACGCAGGAAATGCGATGTCGTTGTTCAAAACAACAGAATTGAAATAGATGCTGAGTATGATACAACCGTATATTGGAAACAGCGAGCGCTGCATTTGGAAAAAATGTTGGAGGCGAGTGTTCAAAGAGAGCAGATACTTGCAGAAAAGTTACAAGAAAGTATAAAGAATCTTGAAAAGCAGTCCTTACCCGTAGAAGAACTGTCCCAGATTCTGAAAAGGGCAGATAATTTCTTACATTTTGTACTACAGAATGCACCTGTGGTTATTGGTCACCAGGTAAATTACAGTTAGTGCTAAGCTGGCAGGAGTATATTAAACAACTTATAGAATCATCCTTAGCATTTGACGTCGAAATTCACGAGGATGTTGTTTTTTTTGTGAGTTTTTCCAGGACAAAGAGTTGCGATATCGATTTATCTATAATCATTTTCCAAGTTTGCACGAGGAGGTAATGAATTGCTGTTGAAGATCTTATTTCAAGGTTATATGAGAAAGTTTTTAGCTATTGCATTGTATTTGTTTTCTTTCAAAATGTTGACCAGTTCTTCAAAATGAAACTTCGTTTTCTCTTTTTAATATGCCTTTTCCTTCTTTCCATGAGGAATTTTTGCAACAAGTCAGCTTAAATATCTGAACTTTTAATTTATTCATTTTCAGGACATCATTGGAAAAACAGATGTTGAAATTTTCACAGGATCTGGTGTTAAAGAATCTCAAGATTTTAAGAGAGAAGTTCTAGAAAAAGGCTTGCCTGCGAAAAGGGAAATCACTTTTGAGACAGAATTATTTGGGTCAAAGACATTCTTGATTTATGTAGAACCTGTCTTCAGCAAGACGGGGGAGACGCTAGGAATAAACTATATGGGAATGGATGTCACAGATCAGGTAAATGAATCTTGCTTTTAGTCTCACTTTCATCCTTTTGGATGTAAAGAGGAAATTAATTTTACTGGCAATCTACAGGTGAGAAAAAGAGAGAGGATGATGAAGATCCGGGAAGAAATTGCGGTTCAGAAAGCCAAGGAAACAGAACTGAATAAAACTATCCACATTACAGGTTTGACCACTCAGTCAAGCATTAGTTGTGAATTTATTCCTTTCTGCTACGGCAGAAAGAAATCTTATCCCATTTTCTTCCTTTCTTTTTTTAAAAAAACTTTCTAATAGAGGAGACTATGAGAGCAAAACAAATGTTGGCAACCATGTCTCATGAGATCAGATCCCCATTGTCTGGGGTTGTTAGCATGGCTGAAATTCTTTCAAGGACAAAGCTTGATCGTGAGCAAAGACAACTCTTGGATGTCATGCTATCTTCAGGAGATTTGGTTCTTCAACTTATAAATGACATACTTGATCTTTCCAAGGTTGAGTCAGGTTTGAACACTATCCTCTATCCATGGCTTATAATTCATATCTGATGTCTGAACCGTAAAATGAAGTACATTTTTAATCAGAGATAAACTTGGAAGTTAGGTACTGATCATTTAATCTCCTCTATGCAGGAGTTATGAAGTTGGAGGCTACCAAGTTCCGGCCAAGAGAGGTAGTAAAGCATGTACTCCAGACTGCTGCAGCTTCACTTCAGAAAATATTAACCTTGGAAGGACATGTAGCAGATGATGTACCCACCGAGGTGAGAAGATATTTATAGCCTCCTTGCTTTTCTGTCAAATATTTCCTTCTAACGTTGGTGCTGAACTATTGGTTACTGCAGGTCATCGGAGATGTTTTAAGGATTCGGCAAATCCTCACAAATTTAGTCAGGTACTAAGCTTTGTGAGGTTTTCAGTCTCATATTTTGCCAGGGGCGACCGTAAATTTACTCAACTGCTGCTTTGCATTCATAATTTTTATTCCTTGCAGCAATGCAATCAAGTTTACTCATGAAGGCAAAGTTGGTATCAATCTTTACCTTGTGCCAGATCCGTCTTTTGCAAAAGCAGAAGCAAGCCTCAAGAAGACTAGTGCAGACCAGTCTAGTATTTCAGGGAATGGAGTCGAAGAGGAATATCTCTCAGCATCTCAAAATAGCAGTAGCCAAAATCATGCATTGAGTGATGAAGATAGCCCTCTGGTTAAAAGCGAGTGCTTAATGAATGGAGGTACTGGGGAGCAACCTCACTCAACTGAAACAGCAGTGTGGATGCGTTGTGATGTCTATGACACAGGAATTGGAATACCAGGTATCTTTGGGATCGTGTCTACTTAAGCATGATACAGAACAGTTACCATGAGACATGTATAAGTCTAACCTTTTTCTTCAATTTATAACGTGACAGAGAAGGCTATACCTACTTTATTTAAAAGGTACATGCAAGTCAGTGCAGACCATGCCAGAAAGTATGGTGGGACAGGTTTGGGACTAGCAATATGCAAACAACTGGTAAGCTTTGTGTTTCTCTTTCTATGATTCTATCCATGGAAGTTACGTTTGATTCGATCTTCAGAGTGTTCTTTTCATTGCACTTGCCATAATAGGTTGAGTTAATGGGTGGACGTCTTACTGTGACTAGCAAAGAACACTGTGGCTCTACATTTACCTTCATATTGCCATACAAGGTTTCAGCTATTTGTGATCATTCTGATGAGCCCTCAGATGCAGAGGATGATGATGATGCATCTGATGATACCACAGAGAGCTTCTTCCAATTTCAACCACCCACTTTGGGCTCCCTGTTCTCCTCCTATGGATCTAGCAGGACCCAAAAGTTATTACCTCAAAAAATTGGGTGTGTAACCTCGCGTAAACTCAATGGGTTTCCCGAGATTTCCTATTCAATTCCCTCTAATAATATCCAATTGGAAGGAGCAAATTCAGTTGAGGATGCATCCTCAGTAGCTGATGACCTGGCGATATCCGAATGTGCATGTTCATCGAGTCACAGCCCAGAGATAGAGAACAAAAATGCAGATACAAGAAACGAATCGCAAAATGGCCGTGGAGATTCTCCATATCATGCAGAGGTAGATCAAGATCGGATAGCCACAACAACAATGTTGAGGGAACAAGAAGCAAGTTCGAGTCAAGAAAGAACAGGGATTGCCTCGCAATGTGTCTCTAGCAGCAGTACTTCAGAAGTAGCTAAACCAAATTTAAAGCCTAATATCCTTCTCGTTGAGGATAACAAGATCAATGTCATGGTGACACAGTCAATGATGAAGCAATTAGGTCATAGCATAGATGTTGTGAATAATGGAGTGGAAGCTGTGCGTGCTGTTCAGCGCCAGAGCTATGACCTAATTCTTATGGTGCAATCTCACTCTCCCTTCTTGTGCATTTTCACAATTTTGATTCAATGCTTTTACTGTTAAGAAAGTCGCTCGCTCATTTCAGGCTATGATGCAATGGTGCATTAGCCCTAACTTTTTTGAGTCATTGCGTGCTTAGTCCTAAATTTCTTCTATTTCACTTTCTTCGCATTTTCATTGCTTGCATTGCGAACAAGTAACACAGACATGTCCATTACTCAATTGTCTATCCCAGTATGTAATTTGTGGACATGCAAACAATTGATTCCAGTTGTTTCTTTTCTAGATTGTATATAATATATTAACGAGAGAGCTAACAAGCGCAAGCGATGTTGATTTTAATGTTCATAATCTTATGGGTGAAGTTCTGCATAATTTTGTAACTTTTTGTCAATAGTGCTCACTTGCTTGCACTTTTCAGGATGTGTGCATGCCAGTTATGAATGGTCTGCAAGCAACAAAACTGATTCGTTCTTTTGAAGAAACGGGTAGCTGGGATGCTGCAATAGAAGCTGGAATTGAACTAAATCTACCGGCTTCACATTTGCATGAGAATGAATTCTCTCTACCTCCCACCAAGTCAAACCACATCCCTATTATTGCGGTGAGCAGTTATTTGCAGAAAGTGATTTCTATTATTGGAAGGATTTGACTCTTGCATAACCGGAATCTTTGAAATAGTAAATGGCCATTGACTTCATTTTGGCATGCTAATGCAGATGACAGCAAATGCTTTGTCCGAGAGTGCTGACGAGTGTTTTGCAAATGGTATGGACTCATTTGTATCAAAACCTGTGACTTTCCAAAAATTGAAAGAGTGTCTTGAACAGTACTTAAAGTGACATCGCTGTAAATTTCTGCATGTGTATAAAATAATAAGAGCCTAGGAAAGTTTTGTAACGAATACATCACGCTCTTCTGTGTCATGAGTGTCTACAGAAAAGTGTATAGAGGTGCAATAGTTTCTTTTATTATTTCATAGTCTAAATGGCTGATGGCAGAACATAGCTAGGAATAGAAGGAGCAAATGGAACGGGAGTGTAAAGTTATTGAAGCAATTACTTTGAAATCATGGACCACAGAAAGATTTCCATCGTAATTTCCCTTGTGCCTTCAAGGTGATTGAAAAGAATCAGGTCAAAGAAAAGGATATTTAGGGAAAAGAAGTACATGTTATAAACGAGGAACTTAATATGAAAGGCTATGAAAAAGGGTCTTACTATAAAGACTAAAAGACGAAATCAGTATCTACAAGTTTGATTTAGTGTCTGAGTTCTGTACGACAAGCTGGACTGATCTTATGTGGCATTATAACTCATTACCTGCCCCATTAGTCGAGGAAAGTACTGAAATATTGCGCATGTTCAATAAGAAGAGAAGCCAATGGTTATTTTTATGATGTGTTCGGCTGCATATCCACCAGTTTTTTTTTTTTTGGGTATAATGTACCAAATCGTAAGTACGGGCAGTTCACCATAATGATCTAACGAGTAACGATTTTATGACTGCCACAATTGAAACTCATATTTAGCGGGTCAAATCTCAGCCCATTGTTCTTGGTCTTTCAGACTCAGACCGAACTAATATGGGGAGCGAAGTGATTTCATTCCATATAAAAATCATTTCATCACGGAAAAGAATTAATCATGTGATTAAACCGAAAAAAAGAATCACTAAATAAAAGCGTTTGTCCAAATATTCTTCCATGACCTGGTCCAAAAAAGAAAGAAAACTTCTACCGCTACGTTTTGACAAAGAAATGAAAAACCTTGAAAGATAAAACAATTGTTACACGTAATCTTATTCAGTGACAGGAAGTGGACTGATATTCCTCGGTTCAAATAATGAGTCAACAACTCGGAGGGAAATTTCCCTGTATTATACTCACCAAGAAAGTAGGTAGAAAACAAGGCATATTTACTTAGATTTATGTTGACTGTAGCGTTGGATTCCATGAACGTCTAGGACCCCCGGGGGGAAAACAGGATCAGTAGCAGCTCTTACAGCAACACTCGCCACTGCAGTAACGTTGACTGGAGGAGTGAACAGAGGCCCCACAAGTGGGATCCGGTTCAACGGTCCCGCATGTTGCAGAATCTACAGTAATTTCAGTTATGCGGTAAGCCACCGAAACCATTTATAAACAAATAATAAATAAGAAGAGAAAGGGGAAGACAGCAAACAAAGAATAAAAGTAAGTAGCTACATAGAATTGAACAGCGACGGGCAGAAAAAGATTTGGGTGTACTATGCTGACTTAGAGAAGAACATGAAATTACCATCTCCATTGGCGAACCAATTGCACCCAAGGGTATCATCATCCTCCCAACACTTCGGGTACCATAAATGAATCCCGGTCTCAGAATGACCCCTGCAAAAAAGGTTAACAAAAAGAAATAAAAAAAGAAAGTCCCATCACACATGAACACGGAGCCACACTAGGAACCACCAGCAGTTTTGCCCTACAGTTCTCAGTTATATGAACATTTAACTTTCATGTTCTAGGCAAACATCTTTGTTAATGTCAAACTGAAAAAGAAAAAGTTCAAAAAAAAAAAAAAGATAAAAAGATGGGGTTAGAATTGAAGTGCCGCTATTATCAAGTTACTAGATGGACGATTTAGGTAGAACAAGGTTTTTAGGTCTACATGTGGCATGCCCACTGCATTGATAATTAATAGTACAAAACATCCCAAAATTAATTTTAACAGACAGAACACTAACCTCCATAAGGGAATCTAGTCAGAACCTCTGTTTCTGCAGCTCTCTACATCAACATAAGACACAATAAAATATATTAAAAAGGTTCAGCATCACGTGCGCATGTGGTAGAGCCCATTTAAAGAAAGAGCACTTGAAACATTATAATTGAAAAGTCAACCATAATTATAAGCATCAATGCAGAAAAAAGGCCAATCCCTGATATTTGCATATTCTAAACCGTAAAATCTAATAGATTTCCGATCAAAACCACAAAAAAATAACGAAAGAAAGAAAGAAAAATTAATACTTCCCTATTGCATGCACAAGGAACCTAACAGGAACTCTCAGTACTTTGCAATAGGGATCATTCCTCTCAAGATATTCTCAATATTTACAAATTAGAAAAATTACCTTTCCTTCATAATAACCCCGCAGCAAGAAATTTACTACACCAAAGTCCGCAGCAGAGATATAGACAAATCTTTTGACACCTGCATGAGACAACAGCACGTGAAATAGTACCTCCGAAGAGGTTTTGCAGTTAATTCATCATATCCATATATAGAATTACAGGAGCAAGAATGTCCATCACAGGAAATTAAGTATGTATAAATCAAGCTCAATGTCCTACCTGAATCAACGAAAACAAGAAGCAAAACAGAATAACACTAGAAAGCATGACCAGATTACAAGAAGTCTAGGACGGTGTAGGAAAAGCTTGGTTAGAAAGGACCACCTACATACTAACTGTGAAAAGAAACCAATGTTCTCCCAACAACGCATAACAAGCATGCATTTCTAATTGAAAGAAAGGGGGGAATTTCCACAAGTAGTCTACAGACATTATCAAATCTACTATGACAATAGACAATCCAAGCAAAGTTCAACATCGTCCAATAAGTTTAATAGAAGACACCAGCTCATCTTTCACTTTATTGAAGTTGAAAAGCAAAAGCTTAACTGAGACCCATCTGAGAAAACCTAAGGGGGCAAAATAGTCCTCTAAAATTAATTACCTTGTTCTGAGGCTGCTCTAACTGCGTTGATATTAGCAGTCCCGTTAATCTTGTACATGTATGAGTTGGAACCAAAGCCACCGACACAGGAAATCTTAGAAAATAAACACAATTTGGATGAATGCATTAATGGGGATTCTTACCAAACCAATTGGGTAAAAAAGCAAAGGCAAAAACACACAATAATAAAAGAAAACAGAGTAATTAAACATACACCATGCAGAACCTCAGGGAAAGGGTGATGGTGAGAGTTTAAATAATTAAAAGAAAATGAATGAATAATGAATTTTAATATGATAATAGACTAGCATGGATCTTTCTTTTTATCCTCCGTCCAAATACATGTCAAACATTGGTTGAAGAAAATGTAACTTACAACAGCAGTGACCCCGTTTAGAGCTTCCTTCCAAGAATCAGTTGAAAGAAGGTTGCCTGGTTACAGTACGACAGGTTTATTTAGAGACATCACAGAATCTCACATCAATGTTGTCTTCGAGGAAAATTGTCAAACAACAAAACAGACCTTGATACCAAGTGACACTGTTAGCCCAGGAATCATGCAGAGATGACCTACCAGACCTGGAATAATAGACAGAAGGAAGCATCAGGTACACACGTAAATGATTTTTTTTTAATTTATTTCTAAGGTACAATAACAATAAGTTCGAGCATACATTCTCCTGCATACTACTCAAAACTCCCACTAGTAAGATACACCTAGAGTCCTCAAAGCTTACAACAAACTACAGCTTCATCTACAGCTTCGCACCAATATCCGCTCATTATTAGATATCCATAGCGCAGCAATTAAAAGCTACCAAGTACCAAATGCCAATACTTAGACTGAAAGTCATAAAAAATATAAAATAAAGAAGTGTCAAACCTGCTCAGACTAGCAACAGACAAACCACGATCTAGGGCTTCCCTGCAAATGTGCGAACCGACAAATCCATTGCCACCCAACACAAGCAACTAGAACATGCATAGAGGTTGAATTGTAATGTTAATAAATCGTGTATACAGAATGAGTACAAAGCTAATATTTAGATATCATTATCATTGTAGCACACCTTTTCTGTCGGAGGTGGAGGAGTATTTAAGGTCTCAGCTTCCTCGACTTTGAAGGGCTCGTCAACCTTATTAGAGTCTGTGCAGAGATATCTCCCATTCTTGGCTATAGTAATTGCACTTCATCATAATTCCAGGTAAACACAATTTAATGGCTTGTTAAAAAGTTGTGTATAGTTCTTATATCTTGCCCAAAAGATTCTTCGATAACAATATGATAAATATATGACTGGATCTTTTGATGAAGAACTTGATTGCAAAGGTATAAAGAAATGTAAGTGTAGTCCTAATACAAATCACGAAAGCAGCGACCCAATACCCCAATAGAGCATAACAACTTCAGAGTGCACTTAATTTGCGCAAAAAATCCTCTATACTCTCAACATATATTCGTAAATTGCACAAACAATTTCAAACCCCTCCCCTCCCCACCCCCAAAAATCGTGATCCTATAAGAAATAAACCGAGATGCGATCATAGCTTCAGTTTCACATACAAGGTCGAACAATAGCACAGTGCGCAAATCATCAAATTACGTTGGTATATCCATTCTTTCCCTGAACCCATCAAGCAGAAATCGAATTGAACGGCGTTGAGAAATAGTATTGAGCCACCAAAGTAAGCCGAAAATAGAATGCGAGGAAAATTGTACAACCAGATGCTCGAAATTTCGGCAGAGCACAGGGAGGGAAAATACTTACTTGAGTTTGGAGATGGAAGCTCTGGAACGGACCAATCGCGAGACGACTGTCCTCATTTGATAGTTCCCTTCCTTCGAAGCCTCTTCCGCTGTGGCCAGGCACGACGATCACTGGATTTTCAACGAATGAGCACCGACACGATTACTGGGGACGTATCTCAGCGGGGACGAAGAATTGGGTCGGTTGTGCTCGTGTATTGCGGAGGCAGGCAGCGAGACGAAGAGTGAACACATGGCGCCCAAACCTGATGACACCTTTGCTAGCATATGTGGCTCATTTGGGGCCTAGAGAGGACTGCTGAGTCCTGTCCAGGAACTTCTACGCAGCTCTGCTGACGCAACGTAAAAAGGTATCCCTTTTAAATGGGCCTAGTTTCACGTTTCCAGCCCAAAACCCAAAATTGTACGCTAATGAATGAATTTTGAGATGTCCATAATCAATTATCTAAAAGCCATCACGACTTTGACGACTTTGGGTCGTAAGAGCCCACTTAACAAATTACCAGTTTTGCCGTAGGAGCCCTTTCTTTCACAGAACATTCTGTCTGCCTAACTCCGTTCCTTTGCTCCGTATCTAAGGAATTAAAAAAGAAAAAGAATATTGAGGAAGCTTTTTGGTAGGGAAGAAGATTGTTAAAAGCATGTGCTATGTTCTCGAAGATGACGATGGACCGTTATGAACATATTTTGATGTTCAAAATGAAAACTTGAAAATTTTCAAACTGGAAGAGAAGAGTTCCATACATATAACACCAGCCAAAACCATGTTAATGGGGAAAGGAAGTTGATCACGTCTCTATTTCTGAGACCTCGAGTGGGCACATAGTTGCATCTACAAGTATACGTGAGTGGCCAATGGCCGGGCACTTAAAAGGGGAATCCGCGATGCATAAAGAGAATGGGCCTACGCAAGTTGGGTTGAGCATGTGCTTTAATTTCCATGACGAGGGAGATTCCTATGCCATGTTATGAAATTGAAAAGGAGGAGGGAAGCTAAGGTTCTAATTAGACACGGTGACTTTAGCGAATTCTGAAACAGCTAGCACGTGCTGTTGCTCTGATAGCGACTGTTCAAGTTAGTCGAAGGGTGAAACACACACGCAATATCCTTCAGGTGTGCCTATTGTTTGGCCACGTTCCATCATGCATATATTTTATAGCAGATATCATGCTCTGTAATGATTAATGTGAATTGACTGATTTTTATTAGGGGAGACCAGAGAGAAAGAGAAACCTCTTACCTATAATAAAATATTAGATTTCTACGGACCAACACAACTTCTCCGTCCGCTTATTTGATTTGGGTGCTTGTCTTCATGGCTCAGCTTGTGGCTGTATATCAAATATCCAAAACCTCGTTATGATAACGTGAAAATATTAGCTGTCTCAAGACCATCGTTGATGCTCAAACCACAAAGTATTATAAACCATCACGATTCACTAATGAAAGTAGATAACTGTTTCTGAAAGTTACTGTTAATTAGCACACATCTTTCGCTTTCAGCTGTTACGTTTTCTGTAACAGATCTCGTGCATACATCAACTGCGTATGCTAGACATTGAGTATTACTGTATTACGAATGTGAAATGGATTCTTATATTGTCTTCGCCCCTCTCTCTCTCTAAATATATATATTGATCCGTTGATAATAATTGAAAGCGCTTGAAGATGCAGCTGTGCACGCCCGCATGTATGTTGGGGGTGCATGTGTTCTTCCTTTTAGCTAATCCTAATTATTATAGCGAATCCACCTTTTTATACATTAACTCAGGGTTAGCGATCCCTATATATACACGATTGATGAGAATAGTTGGAATTGAAGTTAGAATCTAGTACAATGGTTTATATATGGAAAGAGAAGCGACCCTTAAAAATTTGAAGAATCAAAAGTTACAAGCATTTCAACTAATAGGAGAGAGCCAGGTTGATTTTATTTTATGGAATGGGCAGCGAATATATTGATGTTAACATAGTATACAGCAACAAGTTGGATATGCATGTTAGTTTTACGTACTTGATGCAGATTGAGAGCGAAAATGGACAGTACTTTGATCCCAAAATATTTATTATAGTTTTGGAATCACATGCGCCACAAGCAGATAAAGGACCATCCTACACCAGGCCAAAAAATTAAAAAGAGGCCTCATTCTGCCATTCAAGAGAGACAATCAGGTGCCAATACGTATATATATGCTAAAAGGATAGCTCCAGTCGAGCTGAAGAATCGCTTTTGTCCTTTGATGATAAGGAGGGGGGAAATAGAGAAGTTATTTTCAAGATCAACAACCAAGAATATCATCAGGGGACTTCAAAAAGTTGAAAGCTTTTAATCAGCGAATATGACCATAACAATGTATTTCATGAAAATGGTATGTTCAAAAAGGGATGAACATAGAAAGCCATCGATTCAGGGACTGACTCGCCCAAGCAATGGACCAGTGATATTGGTCACCTAGGACGTCACTTAAAAGCGAAAGAGGTATATTTAGGTGGTGAATATTACTTTCAAAATTTAAATGGTGTGAAAAAACATACCAATCCATATCTAATATAAAAACTCTAATTCATCTGCAATCTGCATAAGCCATGTTTAATCCAAAATAAGTTTGGAGCAGGACAGATCAATAATATCTTTTGACACCTACGAAGTTTGAAACGATTGCTAGGAGCATAATAAATAGAAGTGGAGGGATGTGCGGACGTGGAGTGGGAAAAAGGTCGCCTCCTCAATAACTGAGCGACAACCGAATTTCACGAGTTCCGAGTGAGAACCGCTGTTGCTTCTGTCTCACCCCTTTTACCTCCAAATAAAAGTTGTCAGCTACCACCCCATCAAATCACACTGCTTTGAATTTTATTAACTTTCTAGTTTCTTGTATTATTTCCTTCCCAGTTTACGCAGCTGACTTTTTTGGTGCTTCCCATATTTCTCAAATTCAAATCTCTCGTGACATGGCCGGTTATTCTAGATTTCATCATTTCATGGGCTGCGATTCTTTTTGTAGTGATATCCCCCAATACATTGATAAGGGAAACGCGCATTTGTATAATCATTTTTATCTTTTCAGTCTTTGAATATACAATATAATGATGCATATTTATTAATTTTTTATTAAACAGAGAATCAAGCATTCCGGCCAAAACATCTGCTACCAGTTGCAACTTTACTACTCGGAGAAAAGGCGCGAGAGGGGAGAGAATCTATAGCATGCAACTATGTAGACACAGAAGCAGAAGAAATATAAATCCAAGTAATAATGCATGTGAATAATGGGGGTGAGTGATATGTGAATAATATGAGAAGTGGGTTGTATTTAGATTTCAATTGGCAAAAGTTGATTATAAAAAAGATGACTAGCGAAACATGATGATGTTTGGATAATATTTTTTAAAATTGATTTTAATAATTAAAAATATTTTGATAATTTTTCAAAATCAATTATGAAGATGGGAAAAGATTAAAAATGTTCAAATGTTAATAATTGATTCTCAAATGGAGGAAAAATAACTTTTCCAAAATAGACTTTCACGAGTGAAATGAAATTTTGCAAATTTGAGAATGTTAATTTGGATAAACTTTTACAAAATTATGATTTTGATCCAACAATTCTAAATGGGAATCCAAACACGCCCATCATAAAATTTAACTAATCCAATTCTTTCATGATATAAAATAGGAATAATCAAAACTATGAAACAAAGGGGAAAGCTGTAGCTGTTTTTTCCACCTTGGTCACGTTTGTTATTTTCTCTTATTACACTTGTGTTGATGATTGTGGCTTCTCCCACTATACAAATAAATATCTTATTATTCTTTAATCGGATTCCCTAAAAGATATTGAGGCAATAAATGAAACAATCTCTCTCACTCAATTGAATTATGATGTTGTCTCTGAAATACAAACCCTATTAATCATGTTTGAAAAATATATGTTTAAAGGATCTTTGAAGATACTAATGAAGCAATGGATGTCCTTGGCTCATTGTGAAGAAGGCCCTGTCCTGCATAATTGGGTTTTATCATTTGAATTTTTTTTTTTATGAGTTAATTCTTACAATGCAGCAAGACATATACTCTTACTACGATGCAGTTTATTTTCCTTTATTAAAAAAAAATCTGATCCCCCAGCACTCTTCGCTTTTGCAGTGGTCTCAGATAGGGATTCCAGAATAATCCTCACCCACACCCTTGCTTCCCGTATAATTTACATATAATAGAAACCACACCTCTTTTTCCTCAGACAATCCTTTTAAACCAACGTTTAATGGATCTAAAGGTGAGAGAAAGTCAGAAAGGAACGGTCTTTGAAACACGAGGCCCCACCCACAATGCCTCTGAGTCGTGTCTAAAAGAACTCGATGACCATAAGGATGATCCAGGCTTCAAGGGTACGTGGGCACCAGTTTCGCTACGCCTACAGACAACAAAACAGTGCCAAGCCCGTGATCAACTTCCAAAAGGCTTCAGTATAATAGAGACCTATATCCCATTATACCCTACTACCCTTACTGTTAATAATATCTTTCTAGTAGAACACTAAAACTTGCCTAGCCAAAAATAAAAAGCAATAAAAGATCGCCTTTAAATGATAAACGGAAACACGTTTGCCGTGGTCTACGCTATAAAAAGCGATTCTCCCAGGCTCCACAGTTTTGCAGGTTCACGTTGTTGGCGGCTTTATTTCACCGTCTCTACCTGCCTGTGCAGAAAGCAATATGGGAAGCGTCTCCGCCTCAGAGAAAGACATCGCTAGTTCATCAGCGGTATCAGCCCCACCTGCCCAGCCTCATCCATCTCCTTGGCAATCTCCGGTTCCTTATTTATTCGGAGGACTGGCCGCTGTCCTCTGCATCATCCTGTTTTCGCTTCTCATGCTAGCCTTTTCTTACAGGAGGCAATCGGCCCGACGAAATGGGCCCGCACGTACCCAACTCGGCGGTGCAGCTCAGAAACAAGGTGAGTCTGGTATGGCAGAGTCGGTTCATGTTTTCGAACAAAAGATCCTGGTCATCATGGCCGGCGATGAGCACCCCACATATTTGGCCACTCCTGTCTCGTCTCTTGGAGAAGGATTTGAGGAGGTTTTTGGGAAAGGAGACGACAATCGCGAAAATTCCCAGAAAATTGACGAGCAGGTGTGTGATCTTGTTGCAACTTCGACTACAACTCCATTGGAGAATGAAGGCGCGCTCGAAAGCCGTCAAAGCAGCAACCTGTGAGAAAGCTGGCTGGATATTCTTTACTTTCCTTTTAGCTTATTACTACTCGATCGCCCTGTTATCCGGGTTTTCTGGATCATATTCATGGCGTCCTATGTTGATTCGAGAAGTGTAAGCTCAAGCCGATCGATATTAATTAGAATTCGAGAAAGTTTATACTTTATATTCCATCAAACTGCAGCTAGATACAGTGATATATGCATTATTACTGAGTAACGTAACGCCATTCACAGTGTTGGTCTTATCTTAGGTAGGTAGACTGATGATTTCGTGTGATATATACAAATACAAGAACCTGGAACGGTAAAATTAAAAGAGTGGGAAAATGCGTGCGTTCAACTAAAACTAAGACTTGATGAATGATTGAAAGAGAGATATTTGAATGGTCACTGGCGCAAGGTGTTGAAAACCTGAAATAGATATTGGCATCTGGTGTGTGTGTGGTGGCGTCGTTAGGAATAGAAGACTAGGAAAATGGCGGGAACACCGATTGATTTGCCGAGAAAGGACAAGGGGAGTGGGAAGCGGCGGAGGCGTGGCGTTTAGGGCACGACAAAAAGATTATGGGCCGAGAGATGACGTGGCGCGATATTGGTGACACGTGTCATCCTTTCCTTCACCGCTTTCACGCTGAACACCTCCGCGCTACGTTACGCGGCTCCTCAAGGCCGCATCCCCTCCCTCATTTACGCCGTTCCGGTGTGAAAAGACATGAGTAGGTCCGTTTTTCGTGTTAAAATAATATAATTTATTAATTAACATTTTTTATATTACTCTCTCTATTAATTTATAAACCATTTTTAATCCAATTATGCATACTCATAAATAAAAAAATTATTTTTAAAATTATATATATTTTATATTTATATTTATTTAATATAACGTCTCAATTTAAAATTTTAATTACATCTTTAATTGAGAGTACTTTTGAAAAGCTTCATTGATTCTTGAAAAAATATTTTGTACTTTTAACTGAAAGAGGATATATAAACATGAATAAACGCAGGGTTTACATGTTAGGCGACATTTCCAGATCTATATATTAGATTAATTGGACTATGGCCCATTGGAAAAAGCGATCTGATTTAACCATTTAATCTGCTATGATAATTGATCCCGATTGATTCACTTTGACTCGGATGATTCTTGAAGCTTTGAAGAAAAACTCAAGATTTAAAACAGTTAAATTGTTTTAATATCATTTTTCATTTAAACATTATTTTTTTAACTATTGTGTCATAAACAATTAAATCATAAATATAACTTGCTAATTTTTTTGGTTTGCCGTTCCGCTTAGTTTTAAAAACATTAGTGTAAGACTGTAAGTAGACTTTGGGAATCAACAAACCCAGGTACAGGCTTTCTATAAGTAGCGCTTTCTTGACGTCAGACCCAGGAGGAATGCCACATGCAAATGAGCTGTTATGATTTCTTAATTTTTTTCTTCACAGTAATAAACAAAAGGCGATACTGCGTACTAGTTCTGTCAAATCTGAGGTCATCCAAAAGACCAAACTGTGAACCTTATTGCAGTTGAATGCCAGCGCTTTCCAATTTGATTAAATTACAGAAAAAATCTCCCAAATTATATAAATAACAATTTAAATCTATTAAAATGTTATAATATCACTTAACCCTCTAAATATTTCTGTATCAATAAATTTAAAATTAAAAAGTCCTTTTACCTTTATAAATAAGTTATAATTTATTATTTAATTTTTATAATTCTTAAAATAAAATTTATTATTTTTTAAATAAAAATTATGAATTTATTTTTCAATAACAAAAATTATATTTGACAAGTTATAATTTTTTATCCAACTCTTATAATTTATAAATAAAAATTATTATTTTTAAGTAAAAATTATTATCAGGGTTTATTTTTTAATAATAAAAATTATACTTAACAAGTTATGATTTTTTATTCAATTTTTATAATTCATAAAATATAAATTATTATTATTTTTTAAATAAAAATTATGATTGAAGCTTATTATTTTCAATAAAAATGAAGTAGTCTTTTTATTTTAAAATTCATTGACATAAAAATTTTAATAAATTTTAATGAAATTATAATAATATGAATGACCATATTATCATTTATAAGGGGTTTTATTGTCCATTTACCTTCTTCTTTGGTACGAGTAGTTGTTAATGTCATATTCCCTTCATTCATTATTCCTACACTACAACACTCGTGTGGCACCCATACACGAATTATCAGGATTCTGCCGAATCCTAAAATTGATAGAACTTTGAAGGAAGTTTATCATTCCGGCTTGGCGTTGACTTTTTTTATTGGTCAATTGTATTGCTTCATTTTATATTCGTACTGTGTTACTGACTCCCTTTAAGCTAGTACTTCTTCCTTCCTAAATTATAGGTGTTTTTTTAAAAAAATTTATCTTAAAATATAAAATATTTTAAATAGATTAAAGTTTTATTAAATACAATAATTTTAATATTACCCTTTATCTCTTTGTAATTAATTTTTATCATCTTTTTTAAATATATTCCATCCGTCCTAAATTATAAAACATTTTTAAACAAGTGTCACATACTAATAAATCTCATTAAATACACTTAATAACTTTATCTTTTCAAAATAAAATTATAAACTTTTTAAAATACTCATCATTTAATGCATTGAAAAAAAAAGTGATGAAAATTAATCATAGAGAGAGAAGGATAATATCAAAATTGGTGCATTTAATGAAACCTTAATCTACTTAAAGTATCTTATATTTTGGGATGAAAAAACTCCTTAAAAAATGCTCTATAATTTAGGAAAGATGAAGTATTAAATTATGAATATTTTAAAAAGTTTATATTTTTATTTTTGAAAGATAAAGTTGTTAAGTGTATTTAATGACGTTCATTGGTATGTGAGATTTTATTTAAAAGTGTCTTATAATTTAGAACGAAGGAAGTATAATATAGACATTTTGCCACACTTTTATTTAGTTCAACATACAAACTATTGAATAATTCCCATAACCGTTTTTCTAATTACGTTTCTATTTTGCTTATTATTTAAAAAATGACATATTAAAATTTTAATTTTTATTATTAATACGCTAATACGTAGAATTTTGTATGAGAGTGTAATCTAAAACCTGTAAAAAATTTTACATAATAAAATTGTACTTAATATTTTTTTAGAAATATGGAATAATTACTAATAACTTCCTCTGTTATAGTCTCATGAGAATAATATATCAATTGCCCGAGTGGAATATAGATAAGGATTGTTTTTTTTTTCCTATCAATATACTGCAAACAGTAAAAAAAATTATCAAAATGCTGTACCGTAAAAAATATTTACCCAAATGCCACACTAAAAATTATGCATATCGAGAAAGAGTTTGTGGGTATAAATAAATCGTTTAAGTCAAGAATAATTTATAATTAAAAATTATTTTTTTAATCAATAAAAAGTGAAAATCATTCACTGGGTGAATGATTTTAATTTTTTTTACTGATGTGATATTTTATTTACTGTTAATTGTGAGAATGTCTACTTTCTCTTCTTGCTTTGTTGTTATGGCATGATTCATTTAAATATAGGATAAATGGCCAATTACTATTGTTAATACTCCTCCAACATTTGAAGAGTTTGATAAAACATCTGAGTATTTGTAATGATATTGAAGACATATTTAACAATTGATCCAACATATCAGCAGTGATATTGGGTACGCCATAAGTTTTTCACCTTCTTCCACTAATATCATTGAGTATGAATAGGTGAGTTAAAAAGTGATGATGTTGAGGGTGGTACGTAATGATGATCAAATTGAATAGGATTTAGAGAGGTGGAAGGGGGTGATGATAATGATAGGCTAGCATGTAATAAAATTGACTAAAATTTTGAGGCTCTTGTTTATCTAAATTTTCATTTTTAATTGGTAGTTGGGTAGATAAATAGCTACCACATCACTTGCTTAGTCTATTTTGAAAAATTTATAGATGAGGCAACTCAATTATAAGTAAAGCATGCTGAGGATTCCTATTAAATTATTGTTCTCTCGTTACAAGTAAGATGTTGCATAGGTTGTGAGTAATCCTATCTCGATAATCAATGTAATAAAAACATTTTGAATGAGAATTAATCATCAGTCCATATAATTCCTCTGTTATGTCAGCCTAAAATAAACAATAAAATATTATTACATTATAATATTTTTTTTTAAAGAAAAAGATGGTATTAGTGGAAGAAAGTAAAAAACTTACCACAATATTATTACTAATATGTTAAATTCATTGTTGGGTATATTTTTAATACCATTACATATATTTAAATGTTCTATCAAATTCTTCGAGTGTCGAAGAAGTATTAACAATAGTAAGTGATTATCTATCTCATGTTTAAATGAATCACGCAAGAAAAATAAAACAAGAATAGAAAGTAAAGATTCTCACACTAACAGTAAATAAAATGTCACATTAATAAAAAAAAGTCAAAACCATTCACCTAATAAATAATTTCACTTTTTATTAAGTAAAAAAATAATTTTTAATTATAAAATTATTTTTGACTTGAATGATTTTTTCATAACAACAAACTCATTCTGTATGAATAATTTTTAATGTAACATTTAAATAAATATTTTTTATGATAAGCTATTTTGATGATTTTTCTTTTAACTGTCTGCAGCATATGGGTAAAAAAGCCCATAAGGATTTTACCAAAAGCTAAGAAATTGATGTCTGCGCGTGAGGGAAAAGCAAATGATCTCAATCATTTAACGCGCAGATGTTAGATGTGACAGAGGGCATTAACAGCATTCATTGGTTCCCTTTGATGAGCATGCAATGAGCAGAAATCACAAGAATTTAAGAAACTGGCCACCGGCGGCTTCGTGGGGCTCAAGCCTCGTCCATATCGCCTCCCACATCGGGACAATAAATCACCTCCATGTACTTATAATTTCAAATTCTTAATTTATAATTAATTATCGTAAAAGCAATCCATCACCGGAAAAAAAATAAAAAATGAAAAACCATCTCTTTGCATCGTCATGCTAATTCTTGAAAGCTAAGCCTCCTTCCGCCTTCAGTCTGAACAAAATAAAAGCAGTGTCCGGTGAGTTATCGGTGGTTAGCAAAAATGAATGTCCTGTGAAGCACGGCGGATGAAGAGTAGGCTGTAGACACATCACAAACAATCCTCCTTCATATGGAAAATGTGAAGAATCAAATTTCTAGCACTAGCATACAAGAAACAAGAATTAACACTTGCCAGTTACCACATCTCGCACATCAAGTTAGGGTTGGTTAGTTCAATCTCTTAGTTTATAGAAACCACATAAGCATACTTCCTTTGGTAGCATGGAAGAGTTACTGTCGTATTGATAGGTGGGATGAAACATATGTTTATAAAAATGCGTGGCATGCACATGAAAGTAGATCATTTTTTACAAAGGAGGTGATGGAGGAAGCTAGTCCTGTGGGTATAAAAGTGAAAGTAAATTTCATCAGTTTCAATGAACTTGGATTTTTTTTTTTGTTGTTGTTGTTGGGAAGAAGTAAGATCTGGTGTATCAAACAATCTATTTTTTTAGCATTCATCTTTACTTTTCTAGTCCCAACGGGCAAGGAGAAGTGTTGAGAGGAAAAGTGGAAGCAGGGCCGTTGAATGATTTGGCTGTTTAGTTGACCACGTTATAATTTGGACCTGCATTACATAGGAAAAGCCATATATCTGAAGCCCAAACCTCCTCATCAAGTCATGGATTATTTTCCTTGCTTGACATTATTCGCTGTCCAAAAAAAATGACTCTCTGGACTATTTGCGGGTTCTTCGTCTGAAATTGAAGTTCTAGATTCCACCCCTATCATATTTCACCTGAATGGACGAAACAAACAGTTCCCTGTCCATCATTTTGGTTTATGGACTGTGATTTAATCTCCTTAAAGTGGTATATCAATTGGTATATCAATCATAAATGTCTGCTTGACTTGGAACCAAAAATCCGGGAATTACTCGGTCAATAAAAAGTGAAGTGAATAATTACAAAAGTGTATCTCAGAGAAACCATGGCTCCATAAATTTTACTCCCATTTATAAAATATGTTCTAAAAAATTTATTTAATCTCATTTTTAAATTATAATATAATTTTTTCATTTAAAAAATATTTTTAAAATTATTTTTGCATGAGAGAAAAAAATAACATGACATCACTTTTAAAATTTATTATATAAAGTTATATTTAAAATTTTATACACTTTTATTTTTGAGAAAATAAGAATAAAATCTCTTTAGATTATTTAAATTATAATTTAATCTCTCAAATGTTATAATACTAATGAAGTTTTTGAGACCTCTTTATTAATAATTTTTTTAGAAAAAATATCATTTACCTTTATTGAAAATAATACAACTCAATTATAACTTTTATTTAAAGAATCACAATTTTTTTCTATAAATCACAAGAGTTAGACAATAAATCACAACTTATCAAATGTAATTTTTGTTATTGAAAAAAGTCTCAATCATAACTTTTATTTAAGAAATAATAACTTTTGTTCTGTGAATTATAAAAATTAAACAAAAAAAATAATTTATTAAGTGTAATTTTTATTATTAAAAAATAAAATTTTAAAATAATAAACTCCATTCACAACCTCTATTTAAAAATCATAACTTTTTTAAAAAAATTACAAGCCAAAAATTACAATTTATTAATAAAGATAAAATAATATTTCCTCTCAAACAAGAATCTTTAAAGATTTTATTAATATTATATTATTTTAAAAGGTCAATTTAATATTTTAAAAAAATTTTATTATTGTTTTTTTTTACATTAATATTAACTGGGTTGGTGAAAGTAATTTGTAAAGAGCAAAATTAGGCAATTAGAGATAAACTCTCATGCTAGAGAGATAAAAACAACAACAAATGAGTGAAAAAAAGAAAAAAACAACTTCTGCCCTGACAAACTGACTGCACCGTACAATAAGGTGAAAATGAAAGTGACGAAGGGACGTAAGATGCCAAAAGCCCAGCGGGCCGCACCGTAACACCCCACCTCACATCCAGCGAAGCTAGTTGGGTTCGACTTTCCACAACGACGACAATTTTCTTGTGGTTCATCCCCACCCCCATGTTTTGCTCCGAAGTTTATTTGGCTAAGCCTCGCCCACGTGTCGCCCCCCAATTGGGGATTACCCAGATCTCTCTGGTCCCACTAGATAGATAGACATACTTGTTTCGAATAATCACGCTTCCTCCTCAACCACCCGTGCTCAACATTTCCTCGTTGAGCTCATACATTGCGCTCGGAGAGGGGCTCGGACCCTACATTCACTGCAACTTCATACCCTCCCATGGCTTCCAAGCTCTGTGACTCCTGCAAGTCCGCCACCGCCACCCTCTTCTGCCGCGCCGACTCCGCCTTCCTCTGCCTCGGCTGTGACTCCAAGGTCCATGCCGCCAACAAGCTTGCTTCCCGCCACGCGCGCGTCTGGGTTTGCGAGGTCTGCGAGCAGGCTCCTGCTCACGTCACCTGCAAGGCCGACGCTGCTGCTCTCTGCATCACCTGTGACCGGGATATCCACTCTGCCAATCCACTCGCTCGCCGTCACGAGCGTGCCCCCGTCACTCCCTTCTATGATCCCGTCCACTCAGTCGGTGTCCCGTCGGGCGCTGCCATCAACTTCCTCAACGACCGTTACTTCTCCGATGCCGATGCAGATGCTGATGTCAGCAGGGAAGAGGCGGAAGCGGCTTCCTGGTTGCTGCCAAACCCTTCCAATCCGAAGGCCGTAGAGAGCCCAGATCTGAACTCCGGTGAGTACGTGTTTCCCGAAATGGAGCCCTGCCTGGATCTGGATTTCGGGCCGGAGGATCCGAAGGAGGAGGCTCAGGAGCAGAACAGTTCCGGCACTGATGGTGTTGTGCCGGTACAGAGCAAGAGCGCACAGATTCCATCCCTCAACGACCACTACTACGACATGGAATTGACTGGGTCCAAGAATTTCGCCTACGGTTACAACGGCAGCCAGTGTCTGAGCCAGAGTGTAAGACCTCGTTTCTGGAATTTTACAATTCATTACATTGTAGCCTTGAATTTAGCTAACGTGAACGACTTCAGGTATCGTCTTCTTCCATGGAAGTCGGGGTGGTTCCAGATGGGAATGCGATATCGAACGGCTACAGCAAGACGATGATGGGGAGCGAGAATCAGACGGTGCAGATATCAGCCGCTGACAGGGAAGCGAGGGTATTGAGGTACAGAGAGAAGAGGAAGAACCGCAAGTTCGAGAAGACTATTCGATACGCTTCCAGAAAAGCGTATGCGGAAACGAGACCCAGGATCAAAGGCAGATTCGCCAAGCGATCGGAGGCGGACCGCTTCGGAGGATACGGCGTCGTACCAAGCTGTTGAGCGCTCTGGTGGTTGCATATCAAGTAGATTCCGGTTAACCGTGTACATATATTTTTGTTGTTGTGGTTGTTTTCCTTGTTCTTGAATCTGAACTTGCTTGCGAGTGTGATATATGTGTAGCTATGCATTTTGGTGGTTGATAATATAGTATATTGGGATCACCAAATCATCAATAGCTTTTTTGGCTTTTGATTTGAGGAAGCATGGGATGAAATATTATAATAAAATTGAAAAGGGAAACGCGATGATGGCCGCAAGGGAATCAAAATCTGGAATCCAATTGGCTTGTGGCGATTTAATTATTAATTTCAACTGAAATAGTAATTTTAAATGCGTAACTGAACAGTATGGACGAAGGGATGGTTCGAGGCTGCGAGCACTCCTTCCTGGAGATTTCGGTTTTTTTTTTTTTTTTTTGATTCAATCCTGGAGTTTTGCTTTGTCTGTGAAAGGAAATTATTATAAATAATAATTCAAGCTCCGTATTCGCGTCAAGGTCTTCTTTTCTCGAACTGCGCAGCTCAAAAGTACAATCTTTTTTTAGTCACCATTTTGTAGTTAGGGTCTAGTATGCCATTAAATTATTCACGATGTGGAGTCAATTTTAAATTATTACATTTGACAAAGTCGATTTTTTAGTTGGCACGTTCTTATCCATAGGAGTTGTGTTTTATATTCATATTTGACTAACTATTTTCACCATTAACCGTTAATTATGAATGTGAATAAGGTCATGCATTCATGTTTACAGAAAGTTATTGTTTGACCCAAAAAGTGAAACAATATATATATATATATATATATAAAATATGATTTGAAAGCTATTGCCAGGAGTAATTTAATGTAATTTATTCAATTAATTGACAAAAATAACCACATCCACTTGCAGCTTGTTTCAACAGTTCAACTCAGTCATGCTGGAAAAAGGGGGAAAAAATCAGAGTTTCTCGTAAAGAATAGAGCAGGGAATTGCCCGATTTAACTGTGGCTAGCAAGAGCCAGTTCCCGGTTGGCGAGAAATAAATAAAGCATTTGAAACATCAAATATATATGTAGTCTAAGAATCCACGATGTTCCTATGAAACTTTTTATATATTCCATTTGTCAAACGTCAATGATTCCTAATAGTACACATAAACATGAAATATAGATTCTTCGAGAACACCCACTTCAAGTCATTTTATTGGCCATCATCGTCGTGCATGGAAGTTGATGCACATTTTCCACACTGCGTCACCTTTTGAATTCCTACCTCACCTGTCATCTTGCTCGAATCGATTTGGACCCTTCAATTCCTTGTCCAATCCAGATCCTAAGGGCTTAATTGGTGTGAACTATGAAGGAATGAGAGAGTGTGAGTGGGACTGATATTGAATTATGCCAAGTTTTTGTGTTAGATAGGTGGGAATGAAATGGGATTACCCTGTATCACCTGATATTGAAAAATCAATTTCAAGAATGAAAATTCTAAACCAAATTACTCCTTACTGGATCCCCTCCCTTGTCAGACTCATCTCCAACTCTACCATCAACGCCATCCTCCACCCTTGCCGGTGATGTTGTGCTGGCAACACTATCTTTCACCCATGGCAACCATCGTCGCATCTCAAATCCTCTATCAAAAACCGTTGTGCCTCAAATCTCAAAGCTCAGGATTGGTTGGCATTTCTAGAATGACACCCACTTTTTTAGTTTGTAGGAATAATAATTGTCCAGGTCTTTACTTTCACGTTTTGGGTCGGAGCAATTTCATTTAGATCAATGGAAGACTGAAAAAATTCAAGGGAGTGAGTGCGGCTCAATTTGCTTTGAAGATGGTTGGGTCTCTTTCTTCTCCTCAAGTCCAAGTCTCCTCTTTGTCTTTCTTCACTTCCACCGCTTTCATTGCTAAATTTGAGAAGAGGGAGGGTGATTCCTTGTGTTCCTTTCTCGAAGATCTAAGACGCTAGGGTGGAAGGAGTGGCCTTTTGCGTTGCTTTGCTCTTTGGGGAGAAGGAAGATGATTGCATTATATGAGCTGGGTAATAGTTTTTTTCTTGATCATTATAATCTTCTTATAATTTATCTTTAATTGTAAAATAAAATAAAGAAAAATATTTCCTGCAAATATTAATCCATACCAAACATAATTTTAAAGTCTCATTTGCACTTTCAATCCCAATTCTTTTAAATAAAGGCCTGTATACCAAGGCCTAATTGTTTAACCTCACAACTTCAACATCCAGATGCATTAGTTCATTGGATGAATAGTCAAATCCTTTCTTCTTCTTCTTCTTGTTTTGTTTTGTTTTTTTGTTTTTTGTTGGAATTACAAACAAGTACATAAAGTTTAACTAGGAAAAGGAAAATTCACACAAACAGGCAAGGTTCTATTTTGTATCCGGTTAAATCCTTTCAACATAGCAACCATCACACACGTTTTTCATAAGATTACAATACTACACTTGATACAAACGATGAATCATATAAAACAAGAATGTTACACAGTACAAGACAAGTTAAAAGAGAACTTCAACAACAACGCAGCACATGGCGACTCCTTTTTGTGGGGAAACTTGGGCCGCAGACTCTTTACACATATTCCCCCTCCCTACACACGCATGGCTCTATCTAGATGATCATTATGAGTTTGATTATTGGTTCTTCTATTCTTGCAACATAATACAGGCTACATGGAATGCCTATCATGAACTATATTAGACATAATTTGAGACATCCCATCTTTTAATCTGCCAGAAACCACAACAAAGCAGGGTTTTTGCCCTTCTATCCTTCTACCGAAGGACGTGAGCTACTTCGAGAAGCGCTGCTGCTTTGGTTCGTCTGGTTCGTCAAGAAACGGACAACAACACAAGTGATGTTGTCAGAACTGCCTCTTTGATATGCTTCATTCATCAGCCTCTTTGCAGCTTCCTCTGCATCCGCAATTGGTTTTATCATAGCAACAGCTTCCTGAGGACAAGAGTTTTCTTGTTTAGCTAGCGATTATTTTACAGAAATGAGTTCTCTACCAAACATAATATATGTGATTTTTGAAGCCGACATTATGTATTTCAGCCCTTGGCTTGTTTCGAACAGGGATAAAACTCCCCTCTCTCAATATGTTAGTGCAAGGCCTTCAGGCAATATTTGACTCATACTTTCTAGAAACCAAGTTATCACTTATCAGGCTTTACCTAACGAAAGCAAATATAGGTAAAAAAAATACTAGCATTTCACTCATTTTCAGTAGAGCCTGAATCATCTCAACGTGCTTATATTTTAATGACGGAGAAACAGAATAGTTACCAGAGAAAAGAAAGGGGAAGAAATGAAAAATATTGCAGACCTCATTAGTGACAACATCCCATAGCCCATCGCTGGCCAGTATGAGAAACTCAAGAGAGCTGTCAACTTTTTCTTCCTGCAAGACCAAATGGATTCTTCTAAATAAAATACAGAGGGGAGCAAAGGAGAAAAAGACACGCGCACACAACAAAGTTAGGCAGTGTATAAACTTGTCCTTTTCGTACACAAGATTCAATCCTCGACCCACTAATGGAATGATTTTCAATGTAGACTTCATACTATCCACTGCATGTGATAAATCCATCAATAAGTCAGAAAAATGGATGTCACCATTATCGAAACACACCTGGATTTCTGGATCAGCAACAACATACTGCTTCAGGAGTCTATCACCAAATGCACGGGAAACAGCAAGAACACCACCAACTCTCCAAGTTCCTGTGAATATAATTTTAAGTTTTTGAATGGCCATAAGCCAGATAAATAACAAGATTAAACCAAGAAAGATAACTAGGATATGAACTAACCAGCCCACATGACAAAGCCCCCAGCATTTTCAATCCTTTGCCTCTCATCAGTTTGGTCTGGCTTATGATCTCGAGATACAGCAATGGCTAGAGGAAATCACAAAAGGAAGTATTTATATTATTTGTTTAATTGGGTAAGGTTAAACCAATTATCTTTACATGAAAGCACAAGAAACAATCATAAATACATGAAGACTCACACTCTCATGAACTAATAATACAATATTAAACCCACATAAATGACTTCCATCACACACTAGGTCGTAGGACAAATTTCTCAAAAGTGATGCATGATAAGAGCACAGGCTGCTATAAAAACTATGAAAGAATCACCTAGAATTTGAAAATGTGACACTATCGGCAGATAAACACAAATGAAATGGCCAGTAGACTATTTCATGTTTGGTTTTCTCACAAATTTAATGTTTCCCTCATACTAGCATGTCTGAATCTTCACGTGCTTGTAAATCAGAAATGAAAGGAATAGGCAAACAAGTGAAGAAATTATGACATGTGTAAAAAAAGACGAAAAATGACAGTAAATATTGCTCTCCTGGGACAATTATTAAATGCATTCTATTCATGCCTCAAAACAGACTACTAGAGTCTATAACTTAACAAGCAGAGGCAACTATAATAGGAACCATACAGAAAAGGAACTTTACAAAACTAAAATTCATGTGAAAACTTAGCGATCATATGCATATTTGATATTTCTAAGAATGTACATAACGGCAGATGAAGTTACTAGACTTACCATTACCACCCCTGCATATAACAGCTCTGGAGTCCCCGACATTTGCAACAAGCAAACGGTCGCCAACCAGGATGGCAGTGGAAGCAGTTGATCCAGCATCTCTGTTTTGAGCGTTTTCTGATTTGAGAAATTCAGAATCGGTATGGCTATATGCATCAGCTGTAGACACGAAAAGTTTGCCAGGTAAAACAATGTTATTTTCTGGACTTCACATATCAGAGAACATTAAACCCCAAAAGAGAGAGAGAGAGAGAGAGAGAGAATCATAAAGAAAGGCAGGATGTGACAAACCAATAGCTGATTTGGTGTCAGAAATAAACTTTGGATGTCTGATCAAATTACTGAAGAGGTTTTGCTTGACATACTCGGCAGCCCTTGCACCACCGTGACCTGAAAGAGTTATAATCTCATGACCAATGTACTTACAGCTACATAATACATTTCCAAGGGGGGAAAGAAACATCAAGCATATGCTAAATAAATGAAAAATTGGTTCTGGCCGATAAAGAATCATTCCAACATGGCTAGATAAAGAGAACAGTACGTTGTCATGTCAAACAAGAAAGAAAACAACATATAATTTCTCACACCAAGCAAGAAACA